GTGCCCCACGTTTGGGCTTCGGTGTGCCGAAAGCTGGGGTGTTTGCCGGTCCTCTCAGCCCATCTTATCGGGGCTCCCCGGCGGGGCCGGGCGCTCGGGGCGCCTGGGCTTGGGCAGGGCTCAGATCCCATTCGTTGGTGAAATGTTACCCCGGGGAGCTGAGCGCCACGGGAAATACTTCCCAAATGCCTTTCCCCGTGGATGGGAGAAACTGGGGGGCGGGGGGGGCAGATACCCCAGGTGAGGATGCTCCAGGCAGGGAAGGAGGTGGGGAGGGGTGCCGGGGGGGATCCATCCCTTGCTCTGTCCTAGCACGGCTGCTGTAGGGTCTTTTGGGTCTCTGGCGCAGACCCGGAGAGGGGTGGGAGAGGCACAAGCCAAGGGACCTTGGTGTCCCCGGCTGCTGCCGCCCACCCCGGGCCAGGAGAGGTGTCTGGGCTGAGTGCGGTGAATGAGGAAGCAACTGCTGTGCATCACTGTGAAATGGCATTTGCTCCTTTGCCAGTGAATTATCCGCTCTGGCCTTGTGGGCGGTCTGGCCTCCCTCCAGGAGGGACAGGCAGGATGAGGCAGGGACAAGGACTCAGTAGCCCGAGGCTGGAGCCGGATGGCTGGACGAGGTTCACCATCCCTGGGTCCTGGTGGTTCACTGGAAAACGGATGCCTCCCAGTGAAACCAGTACGGCCAGCGGGAATACCCTGGTCACCCTCGTTGTCTGTGCCAAACCCCCCTCCCAGCCAGGGGTGGCTGAGCCCGTCCCTGCTCCTCTGCACCCAGGATGGTGGCCTCGAAGCTGCTGCTGCCGCTGCTGGTTGCAGCTCTCCTGCTGCACGTGGCCACCACGCTGAAGATCAGCGCCTTCAACATCAAGGTGTTTGGGGACAGCAAGATGTCCAACCAGACTATCGCAGATATCATCATCTCTGTGAGTGCTGGGGGAGAGGAGCAATCCTGGCCGCTCTCTGGTCTCTGGGATGCAGCCGGCTTGGGGCAGTCGGACACTAGCTTTCTGCAGGCATCCGTCCATCCATGCGTCCATCCGTGCATCCACCCACCCATCAATCCACCTGTCCACACACCCCCATCCATCCACCTATGCCTCCATCCATCCACCCATCCATCTGTCCATCCATCCATCTATGCCTCCATTCATACATGCCTCCATCCATGCATCCATCCATCCATGCATCCATCCATGCATCCATCACTCCATCCATCCCCACCTCCATCCATCCATCCATGCCTCCATCCATCCACCCACCTGCTCTTCCCCCATCACCATCTCCAACCTGGGGCCATCTCCACTCTTGCCGGTCCCCAGCCGAGGACGGGTGATGCTCGGTGCTGCCCAGGTTCCTCACTCAGAGCAGCCTGCGAGTGAGGAGCTGCTGGGATGGTGGGTGGTAGACAGGCGGGTGTTAGAGGGCACTGTGTCACCCCAGGGTCCTTCCAAGCCAGAGGACACCAACAGAGGAGCTCCCTCCCTGGCTCTCAGGACCCTGCTGCCCCCCTGTTGCCAGCTTGGGAGCCTTCACAGCCCAGCCCAGGCACCCATGGGTGCCCCTATGAGCAGCTCTGAGCTTGTCCCCCCAGATCCTGTTGGGGTACGACATCACCGTGGTGCAGGAGGTCCAGGACTCTGACCTGAGCGCTGTGAAGAAGCTCGGGTGCCCCTATGAGCAGCTCCTGGCCAGGAGCAAGCAGCACTGAGCTTGTCCCCCCAGATCCTGTCGGGGTACGACATCACTGTGGTGCAGGAGGTCCGGGACTCTGACCTGAGCGCTGTGAAGAAGCTCATGGACCAGCTCAACAGGTGACCCTGATGGCGCAGGGCGGGGGGTGCCTGCAAATGGGACACCGGGGCAGATACTGGCCGGTGTCTCGTCGTGCCGGGGCACCACTCTGGCGTGCAGAGAGAGCCTGCTGGGTGCTGGGGGCACCGGGAGCCTCCGCTCACCCTCTCTGCATCTCTCTCCCAGCGTGTCCCTTGTCCCTTACAGCTTTTTGAGCAGCATCCCCCTGGGTCGGACCACCTAAAAGGAGCAATACCTCT